TTGCCAGTAACTATACTATTCGGATAGTTGAATTTTTGAACATACCTGTGATGTTCTTTGCTTGTATTCTTGCTTCCTTTTACTACATTATTTAAGAGTTGTCGCTTTCTTCTTTTTTTTTTCAGCTTTCGTTCAGCACAATGTCATTCGCGTATCTTATCTTGTTAAGATATTGTCCACCGATAATAAATCATGGTACATCTTGTATTTCTCTTAGAATCATCGCGGTGCATAGGTTGAACAAATCCGGTGAGAAAACGCATTCTTGGTTAACTACTCTTTCTATTTTTACGTATTCCGTTAACAAATTCCCTGTCCACCTGAAAGTTGTTTGGTTCCAGCAGAGACTACAGATTAACTAGTAATACTACTAAAGTAAAAATGTAAGTAAGTCTGTCGACATCGTTTAGCTTTTGGATAAGTAAACAAAATAAAAAACAAAAACATGAAAGAACTCTATTGGTCGAACCACATCGACTAATAGCTTAAGTTCAGTTGTGGAACGATAGACTTTTATATATGTAGGATATGAGTTCAAACCTATCAGTAAACGTTTATTATTCCAATCTATGATGCACTTTACAGTCCTAAAATGACGATCACTATATGTGAGGATATTGATTTTACTCATCACGCTAGACAGTGACGATTATGTCTTCATTATAACCTAAATAATATATACATTATGTATAATTTTAATTATCACTATTCACTATTTTATTTGGCTATGTGTGCTTCACTTTTTTCACTATGACTTCAGTTTATTTATTCCTCTATCTGATCACAATATTTTTTTTAATTTTTTTTTATAATATTATTTTTCCTATTTTAATAACTGTTAAATCTTTTCAAATCGACCACGGGGTTTTTTGTGAAGTATGCTAAAGATTCTTCCTCAGAATAGTTATTTACGTATAATGCATACGTAAAATTAGTGAAATGTTAGCAAAAAAAAAAAAATGCGAACTTTCAATATCCATTCAATCTGACTATATTTTGCCTTTGTAAAATACATCTTTTGTATTTCGGTAAGTTTGCTGAATGTCTGAGATATTTCGACATTTATGTTAACCTGTACTTTCATACGTAGTCCTATCTAAATAGTCATAATTTCCCGTCAATAATTATCTTCTTTTACACACACACACACACACATATATATATATACGCATGCATATATGCAAATACATGTATATATTATAAACAAAGCATTACCTTATTTATCTCTATATATTAAAATTAATTTCGGACTTTTTCGTCAATTTCATAATATATGATGTTATTTCGTTAAGATGCGCTTCGAGCAGACATGAGCGCTGGAAAAAATATCAGGAGAAATTTGTTGTTTAAAAAAAAAACAATAATTTGAATTTGTTCATAAGACACATTCTCTGTAGCTAAATGGTAAATCACTTCAGGCAAGATGACGGTTCGTGTCGGATGCAGGTAGGAGAAAATTTTTCTGAAATTTCTCGGATATTCAGTTTGGTAAATGTAGTTAATACTGTTTATTATAAACAGCGCATTTACTTAAATATTTGTATGTATGAAAATAAAAGTATAAACAGTGTATATATATATATATATATATATATATATATATATATATATATATATATATATACACACACATATATATATATATATATATATATATATATATATATATATATATACAAACAGTTTTGTTTAAATAATTTAGACGTATTATATCTATTTTACTTTTAATCCTTTTGAGTCCACGAATTCATTTTCTTAATATCTATTTTTCCAAGTACTTTCAATCTCATCTGAGGCCGTCATAAGAAGTGAGTTTATATTTTTCGCATTTACTGTTTCAGGGTGTTGTTTTTTTCTAAGGACACTCAAACCCTGATGTTGACATTGTGCTAACGTCAAAAGTACTCGGAATACATGAATATGTAACATGGTAATTTTTCTCTTTCGTTAAAAAGTTTACACTGTGAATATGAGAGACTACTACTGAAAATAAGTATATATATATATATATATATATATATATATATATATATATATATATATATATATTGGTTCCGTAGGAATCCCTGAAATGCAATGAGGTGCTAACCTGACCATGTGCCCAATGTATTCAGATATGCCAGGGCAGGTCTTCACCAGTGATCATACCAAAAGTTTATTGCATATGACGATTTCGTAATGCCATGCTTTGAATGTCTGGCCTGCACTAGAATCTGCAAATCCAGTTTGGGCCTGACAAGCCATATAAAAATACACATTGGAAGTGAAGATATGCAAAGTCAACTTCCATCACCCAGAGGTTATTTGATATATGTAACAGGAAATACAGATCGATTGCTGGCTTTATGAGACACTGTCGTTGACACAACAAATGGATGCTGTGTTTTGTGTTTTGGGGGTGTTTAACTGATGGACTGGACATATCAGTTATGGACATACTCGCTTTGTGAGTCAACAGCCACGATTCAATATATATATATATATATATATATATATATAT